TAATAGATCATGATAAATTGTAGCATGTATTTATTAATCACTAAAGGCCACTGAAATAAAAACAATGTTACTGAGATGTAAAAGAAATTTTCACTACCTAAAATAAAACTTTTTTCCCAGCAGCATCAATAACCCAGAGTATGTCCTAACATTTGAATGGGTGGATGTTGGAGCACCAGGGTGCTGAAGACCAGTGTGTCTCACTGATCCAAAGCAGAATCAAGAGGCAGAGGTTTGTGTTTTCTGGCCTGCCTAATGGCACATTCCATTCACACCTCACCAAGCAAAGATCTTCACTTCTGTTCTTTTCACTGGTGGTTGGTGTGCTGCAGCAGCCAGAAATAGGGTTCTGTTTGTGAATGGAAAACAGATAAGGCTGTCTTCCTCTTCCCACTTTCTGTCCTGTGGGCCTGAGTCCCACTGGCTGTGGTTTGTAGTCTACTGGCTACTGTGAGCTGTTCCCTACTGGGAGGCCTTTACCTGAGGGCTGGCTGGAACTGCACTCTCAGGCTCCCCACAGACCTACTGAATCAGAATCTCCTGTTAAACTATGAGCAAGTGACTCCTTTGGCTTCAGAGTTTAAAGAGCACTCTGGGAGTTAAAGAATGATTTTCCAAGGGTGCTGAAGCCAGAATTAGACAGGCAGTCAGTGCAGATAGGTAAATCAAGTCAGGTCAGAACTAGGAGGCCAATTTTGTGTGAGTCTGGGAAATTGGTGACTATCCTCTGAGGATCTTATCAAGAACCTGCCCCTGCTCCAAACTGTTGCTAAGGTAACCAGTCCCAGGAATTTCCCCCACTGCCCTACTGGGAGCTATAAGGTTGTTAATGTGTTTTTGTCTACTCCCCCTTCAGCCCACATATTTCACACCTTTGGCCATACCATCAAGCATTGCTGGGTCAAGTACACAGGAAAAAGAAAGTTAAGGGGGAAAAGTAGGAGAATAAAGGAAGCCTAGGACATATAAAAAGGGCAGAACACCAGGCTTCTTGGGCTACCAGGATATCAGCTATGCCCCCTTCCTCTCAAAAGAGAAGTCTTTTAAATAAATCCTACTTCATATGCTTGTCTCGGCATGCTTCTATAATGTTCAAACTTCAACATGTGGGGAAGCAGCAGTCCTCACCAAAATCCAGCAGTATCATATTTGGAGGTTCTATGGAGGTCTATCTACACTGAGGTAGGCTTCTCTCCTTGCAACCTGCATCTGTTTCAGATGCATCTTTCAGTCTCATTTATTTTGAAGTATCATGGGCACCTCTCAGTTATTTAAAGACACTTAGAGAAGCCACCACTCTTCAAGACTAGGTTGAAAGGTTTCCTGGATAAGGCAGCTGTAAATCACCCATTAAACAAAGAGCAGGCAATTAGAGGTCAGCTGAAGCCACTTCCTCTCCTCAGGCCACACTGACCTACCGACCAACCAACCCTGACCAACCAACCCTCAGACCCAAGGACTGAAGAAGGAGGGGGCCCGTGCAAGGGGAGGGCAGGGAAGGCGAGGAAGGGGCCCCTCGAGGATGAGGTGACAGCAGGCAGCACAAGGGGTGGCACAAGGGGCACCGAGGGGACCGCGGTAGGGGACCCAAGCAAGGGGCCCCCAGCTCAGACACGACACCAGGCCATGTGACTCCGAACTGGAGCACAAAGGGTCTGCATAGCGAGGGGAGGGAAGGGAAGGCGAGGAAGGGGCCCCTCGAGGATGAGGTGACAGCAGACAGCACAAGGGGTGGCACAAGGGGCACCGAGGGGAACGCGGTAGGGGGCCCAAGCAAGGGGCCCCCAGCTCAGACACGACACCAGGCCATGCGACTCCGAACTGGAGCACGAAGGGTCTGGCATAGAAACCTCAGGGATGGGGTAGGGGCAGCACGCAAGGCCAGAGGGCAGGGGAGGGGAGGGAGTGGAGGGAGGGCATCGCGCAGGGGAAGGTCGGCACAAGGCCCACGTCCTCTGCCAGGTGTCAGGGTTCGGGCAGCGAAGGGGGCCCGGGCCAGGCGTAGGGCTCCGTTTCCCGTAGGCAGCCTGCAGGGCGCACAGGCCGGCCAATTCCACTCCGCTGCCCCAGGGGAGCAAGCACATCCTCAGAAAGGGACCGGGAACAAACCAGGGCCAAACAAAGGAGGGCCCCCTGTGGGGATGCAGGGGGTCCAAGCCGGGGGTGCGGGGAGAGCCAGGACCCAGTCCAGGAGCCCAGGCCAGGGGCAAGCCAGGGGAGGGGAGGGTCCCGGCAGTGCAAGGGGAACAGAGGGGAGGTGGTACAGGAGTGGGC